ACAGCATTCATGCTATGAAACTAATAAATGGGTATATCTGTACGCACGAGCTAAAGAAAATTTTAGGGAGGAGAAATAAAGGGGGAGTCTTTTCATTTACTTTCATTCATATATCTATATACAAGATTTTGAGATGACTCAAGCCTCCAATCATTAAATTACGGCATGGAGAAAAATAAGATGGAATAATTTGCCAAAAGCATGATTAACTTACTTTGAATTTTAGAAAGTCATGAACAGCAACAAAATATGATAATTATTCATAAAAATTTCAAAAATATTTAGTGTTTAAAATATAAATCCGGATTGATATCAAATATAAGGATAAGCTACGAACTTTAATTTTTGAAGCGACAAATATCCAGTTTGGAACCTCTCTTCTTCTCTTCCCATCCTCTTATTTTTTTTAACTGTTAGATTAACATATTTTAACGGTTTAGATTTAATTTTTTATAAACTATTTATGAAAAAAATTTAAAAACATTTAATGTACTTGTAAGGCATTAGAATTAAATTTTAATATAGTTTGTAATTTATTATTTATTTATTTGTATAATTTAATATTTTAATAATAGTTTTAAAAAGATTTAAATCTGAGCCGTTAAAATATTAATCTGACGGTTAAAAAAGAAAAACAAAGGAAGAGGATAGCAAGGGAAAAGGAGAGGTTCCAAACTGGACAAATATCTCTCTCCAAAAGCTGAATGAAATACTGTAATTAAGAAAAATTGAAAGAACTGAGAAAAAGGGATATTGACATATTGCATATCTGTTCGAGTGATAAGATATAATAATCATTAAATTTTTTGGAGGAACTCATTATATATATGTATGTATAGAGAGAGAGAGAGGGAGGGAGGGAGAGTGCATAGAGAGAGCAACGAGATATTTTAATTTTTCTGTTACTGTTGCATGACATTTTCTTTTGGTAAAATTACAATCAAGTCTTAAAGAAAGAAAATAATTACTAATAAGTTCTAATTATAATCTAAACAGTATATAATGACAAATTCCAAACTAAATAATGACAACCTCTAAAATTTGTTTTATAATTATTTTTCTTTCTTAGAACCTCGTTATAATTCTCTCTTTTCTTTTTTCTGGGCCAGCTATTGCGTGACATTTTCAAACCATACAAGGACAATAAGCATCGAATTAAATAAATGACATAACAGCATTCACTCCAATTCTATGAAAGTTTTTTTTACCACCAAAAGGTTTATTGAGCCAAATATTTTTTAGCTTATTATCACTTGAAAACAAATAACATAGTAGTATATACATTTTTTCATTGTAAGAAACAATAATACATGTAGTTTTTACATTTGATGGCAACTAATTCTCCCCCCGGGTGGGGGAATGCGTGGGCAGGAAACTGGCACCAGCTCGTGTATATAAGGCCAGCCAGTAGCAGCACTCAAAGTAGCAACTCACTCCAAAGTTGCAATCACATCACCAATACGCTTGCCATGGATTCCCTTGCTCTTCATCTTCAACCTCTTGGCATGGCCATGCTGTTCGCAATCCCACTCATGTTTCTCCTGGGACTGCTCTCTCGAATCCGCAAAAGGCCACCCTTCCCTCCGGGTCCCAAAGGCCTTCCCCTCATAGGCAACATGACGATCATGGACCAGCTAACCCACAGAGGCCTGGCCAAGCTGGCCAACCTGTACGGCGGCGTACTCCACCTCCGCATGGGCTTCCTCCACATGGTAGCCATCTCCGACGCTGACGCCGCTCGCCAGGTGCTTCAGGTGCACGACAACATCTTCTCCAACCGCCCCGCCACCATAGCCATTAGCTACCTCACCTACGACCGAGCAGACATGGCTTTCGCTCACTACGGTCCCTTCTGGAGGCAGATGCGCAAGATCTGCGTCATGAAGCTCTTCAGCCGGAAGCGCGCGGAGTCGTGGCAGTCGGTACGAGATGAAGTGGAGACGGTGGTCCGAACGGTGGGGGCGAATACGGGGAAGGAAGTGAATATCGGCGAGCTGGTGTTTTCGCTGACGAAAAATATAACGTATCGGGCGGCTTTCGGGTCGAGCTCTCGGGAGGGACAGGACGAGTTCATTGGAATACTCCAGGAGTTCTCCAAGTTGTTTGGAGCTTTCAATATAGCGGACTTTATACCGGGTCTCGGGTGGGTTGACCCGCAGGGGCTCAACGCCAGACTGACCAAGGCTCGTGGCTCACTGGACAGCTTCATCGACAACATCATCGAGGAACACATAGCGAACAAGAAGAAGCCAGATGAAGAAGGAGATATGGTGGACGAGTTGCTGGCCTTTTACAGCGAGGGCGAGTCTAAAGTCAGTGAATCGGACGATCTACAGAACTCCATCAAACTCACCAAGGATAACATCAAAGCCATCATTATGGTATGACGTGGAAAATGACGCTCACTTGATTGAAATTTTCATCTAGGCAAGATATCTCAAAAGAGGGGGGAAAATCGTATTTATACGTCTTATATCATTTCAGTTAAAGTTGTCGGTAATTTAGATCTAAGGGGTGTTTGGGTAAGATCAAAACTATAATTTTAAAAATGTTTTTACGGTATTCGAGGTAAATATGTGAAAAAATTTGTCTTAATTTACGAAAAAGTATTTCTGAAAAGTGATTATTGGATATCTAAACATCTTTTTAGACTTAGATTTAGTAATATATTATGATAGTTCCGTATCTGCGGGTGCTGGCCTTTTTTGATGGGATTCTACGTATGAAACAAACAACATGTCAGTGAATGGAATATCTTGCGCACTAACGTGAAATAAGGGCAAAAATTTGTGTGGTAGCCAGCCTTGAAGTAGTGGGAAAGGGAAAGAAGATAAGGATGAGCGGGTCTCAAAATGGATTTAGCGGGTCACTGTCTTTGGGGTGGGCCTGAGTTAGTAGCAAGTAGTAACGCATGAAATAAATTTTTCTCACCTTGCATTAAAGTGATGATTATTTTCACCAGAAAAGAGTTGTTAGTTTTTCGGATTCAATTACGCTGGGGTAGTATGTGACTGGATTTGGGTTTATGAATTAAATCAGGACGTGATGTTCGGAGGGACGGAGACGGTGGCGTCGGCAATAGAGTGGGCCCTAGCGGAACTAATGAGAAGCCCGCAAGATATGAAGCGGGTCCAACAAGAATTGGCAGAGGTGGTGGGCCTTGATCGGAGAGTGGAAGAGTCTGACCTGGAGAAGCTGACGTATCTGAAATGCGCTCTGAAAGAGACGCTGCGCCTCCACCCGCCGATCCCCTTGCTCCTCCACGAGACGGCGGAAGACGCCGTGGTTTCGGGCTATTTCGTTCCGAAGAAGTCACGTGTGATGATCAACGCCTGGGCCATTGGGAGGGACCGCAAGGCCTGGCAGGACCCCGACAGCTTCAAGCCGTCGCGCTTCCTCGAGGAAGGCGTCCCCGATTTCAAAGGGAGCAACTTCGAGTTCATCCCTTTCGGGTCGGGTCGGAGGTCCTGCCCGGGATGCAACTGGGCTCTATGCCTTGGAAATGTCCGTGGCTCACCTGCTCCATTGTTTCTCGTGGCAGTTGCCGGACGGCATGAAGCCGAGTGAGATGGACATGAGCGACATCTTCGGACTCACCGCTCCCAGGGCGAGTCGGCTCCTCGCCGTCCCCACAAAGCGCTTGGTGCGCCCTCTCTTTTAGGGGCAGCTTGCATTGTGCGTGAGCCCGGGGAACAGGTCTGCTATCTGTGTTTTATCCTTTTTTTTTTTTTAAAAGAAAGAAATTATATTTCAATTACACATAAATATGAAGGGAAGGGAACTGTCATGAAAAAGAAGAAAAAGGACGGAAAACGGCAATAATTGTATAGGTGACAAGAGCGGGAGGGTCGTATGGAAGGATTTGATTCTCCCTCTTATGTGGATAAGCTTTGTATGAATTCCTACTGTAATAATCATAATCTCCCCCGCATTTGGGTTCGTTTGCACGGTGCAAATGAGGTTAGTCAACGACCATTCTTTCAACAGGGCAAACTAGGAGAAAATGTCATTTCTTGAATTTAAAGAACAAAATTTTATATGTGAGATAAAGACGGGAAATTTAAACTATATTATACTCTTCCGGTCTTTAATATAAGACCTATTTAACTAATTTGATTAGATTAAAAAAGTTGGTTAAGTTAGATAATTATAAGAAATGTGACATGTTTTTCCTAAAACACCATAATCATCTTTTTTAATATCCTTTTTCCTTCTTCTACTTGATTATAATTGAGGGAGCATCCATAGGAGTAATTTAAAGAAAATTGATAAATATGAGAAATTGGTCTTATATTTAAGACTAAAACTAACTCAACAATTGGATCTTATATTAAAGACCGGAGGAGTAACTCGTAACTTTGAATCTGAAATTTGCTTGAGTGGAGTAATAATAAAATTAGTCAGCAGCTGAATTAGATTAAAATATCACATGTTTGGTAGAAAGGAGCGGGGGCTTAGAAGAAGAACACAAATGATAATAGCAATTCCCCAAAAAACAGAGATGGAGGCATTTGTATGGCTGAAACCATGTTCCGTGAACCAGAAAATCGGATGGATGTCATAAGTTGGTGAGCTAATGAGCTTCGTTGAAAATTCCCAGCTCATCACACATATGCATAGAATGAGACAAGCCCATGTATCATGAAAATCAGTGTCCCACCTGAAAACCCTTGATCACCCCCCTACCAAAGACACCGCTCCTGATGTATATTGCGGACATACTCAGCATGCTCCTTATTACAATACCGGATACTCTTCTGATTTTGTTTATAAGATAAAAAGAAAAAATATCTTTTGGTCCTATTTATAAAGTATTGAGAAAATTTTTTTATATAGATATGCAATTTTACCTTTCATTTATTATTGTGTTGACTTTGTTTAGATGAGGTGTAATATATATTAAATAAGGATAAATTGCAAAGTTATTAAATTTTAAATAAGAGTTAATAAAGTTTAAGGGTTTCCTTAGTTTGTGTGAAACATGTTAAAGTGATTTATAAATAAGACAGACTTGTATTTCTTCCAATAGGATTCAAAAGTACATGTACAGAGCACTTCAAGGCGGAGCTTAACATTGGATTAACATCCTGTTGATCTAGAATATGAAAAATACAAGTTGGTGAGAATATAATACAGGTCGCCTCATCTAGAGAATGTACAAATGAAGCAATTATTCCAAATAAATGAGCAAAAGAATATGGAAACGAAAGAACGGGGCTCAAAAAAGGTCCATTTGGGAGCCGCCGCTTACTTTAGCTCAGCCACAACCATAATTGTATTCAACTCTTCGTCTGACACAACATGAGTGCAACGTCTTCATAATTAAAATTCCACTCTTTCAAGGCCCTCAACCAATATTTTATGTTTTTTTTAACCTTTGCCGACAAGTTTATCAAATTTTAATTGGATCACAATCTTGTTCACATCAAGATGCGGACAACAGCGAGGCCAACCGCAGATATTGAAACAAGAGTCCCTATGCAGTATTTTATCACATCATATTTCGCTGCTTCCAGTTGTGCTCTCAAGGCATGAATCTCCTGAACATTATTATATTCAAGAAACATAAAATAACTATGCGTGTTACGCAGATGACTATGAAATGTATTTCTCACAGCCACATGTTTGCTTACTCTGTCAAGTTTGTTGGTCAGGTTCGAAGTTTCTGCACTCTGATTGGACAGTTCCTCCCTAATTCTCCTGCATTTACGAAGAAGAAGTAACACATCAGGCATAACAATGGTAAGAAATGGTATTTCAACCTGACAAATTCTATAATGCTTCACTAGAGAGTAAAGACTATCTACATATTCTGGTCCTTAGTTCTCAGTTCTCACCCCTTCTCAAGGTTCAAATCCAACCTCTGCCCAGCAGTGACTTTATCTATCTCATATCTGCATCACAACCCATAAATTGAAGCATAAAGTTGGTATGCCATACCCAGGGACATAGAAGTTAGTTAATGCCAAAGACTTAAAAAAATTATCAAACAAACCTTAATTCACTGCGCATCTTCTCTATATCATTTCGAAGTTTTTCAGTCTCATGTTGCAGCAGAGAAAAATGGTTGCCCTGCATCATAATTACTCCTCAATAAATAGTTAGAATAATAAGCAGCAATTTCGTGTCACAACATAATTTAGGTGCTAAGATGGAGCTTCCTATTCGAAGAAATATCATGAAGGAATAGGATATATCACTCCAGTGACCGGATGAGAAAACCCTCAGGAAGATTACAGTAACTGTTCTCAGATCACTACAAACTAAAAAAAAAAAAAAAAAAAATTACTTCATCTGCAAGCACCATGGTTTATGGATACCTGAGAGCTCTGCACTTCAGATTTGAATTTGGATAGCTTGGCTTCTTGAGTCAGTTCATTCTTGAATCATACCGAGGAATAAAGAAAAGAAATAGATATCAATACATAAGTTGAGCCAAGCATCCATTGACTATGGGATCGCACAAGGGGAAGGTCGTAAATTACATCAGGTCATCTTACTTTCTGCATTTCTTCTTTAGATACAAATGATTGTGATGCATTTTCAAGACTGTCATTCAAGACTTCAGTTATAGCAGCAGTTATCGCTTCAGCTTGCTTTGAGGGTACACCTTGGCCTTCTAATTTTCTAACCTAAACAGAACACAGCATTCGCGTAACGAAAACAACAACATCATTCTTAAGAATTTGATCTGAGGAAATAAAAATTAAAAATATAAGATGAGTTTATATTATAATTTACAACTTACAATGGCTAACGTGTCAATAAGAAATAACCGCTTTCCGCTCGATTTTACCAGCTGAGAATTTCGCCTGGAAAACGCAGCAAAAGCCATGAAGCTGCTCCTTCAAATGAAAATGGTGCTTTCGAATTCACAAGTTTTCCTAATCCATTTAAGGCCACTGAATGGGCTCCCAATTGCCCCATCCACCTAGAAGCCGCAATCGCGGCCATCAGATTCCGCCAAAAAAACACCAATTATCTTCAATTCTCGTAAAATCCCAACAAATTTTAGTTGGCTGCTGCTGCCTTCACTGACAACTATTCAAACGAAGCACAGGATCACCAAGTTGAGAAAAACCATTCCACGATTCTTTAAACAAGATGAAAAAAAGACAAAATATTCCCGTATCGTTCGTCAAGAGATTTTCAAAGGCGAAAACCATTCAAGCTCGAATCATTGTTCGAAAAATCTTATTGCTTACTCCGTCTTCCATTTTCTTGGCACATAAGGAGCAACTGAAATGAAAATTATTACAAGATTTGTTTCTTTCATGTGTGGGAACTGTACCATTATAGCAATGGGAGACGAAAGGATGAGATCAAGGGTGATGGATAGGTCCGCGCCTCAAGCCAAAGGCAATGCAAATAATTTTAGGAAAAGCTACGATCAAATGAATTTGTTATTTGGGGGTAAAGAGAAAAATTTCACAGTTGCTGCTTCTTCCAGAGAGTCAGAGACCATCTCTGAACAACATCAAGAATATGATTAGCATCCGTGGAGGATTAAAATAGCGTTGAGATTGGCTTTCATTCAGCGTTCGCGTTCCTTTAACCTGGAAATGTACGGTTTACTGGAATTGATAATTCTGGATTACCCAATTTGTGTTGCTTAATAAGGATTCTCCCCTTTTTTCTCAATCGTCCAAATACAGTTAATCTAAAATTGATTTGTGTTTCGTAGTTTTTTAAATTGAGAAATTATGATGCTACTCCTCCGGTTTTTAATATAACACCCAATTCTTGAGTTGGTTTTGGTCCTCAATATAAGACTCATTTATCATATTTATCAATTTTTTCTAAATTACCCTTATAGATACTCCATCAACCATAATTAAGTAGAGGAAAAAGAAGGGTATTAAAAAAGATGATTATGATATTTTAGAAAAAAAATGCGTCACATTTCTTATAATTAACTAATTACCTAACTTTTTTAATCTAATCAAATAGTTAAATGGGTCTTATATTAAGGACTAGAGGAGTACTTTAAAAAAAATCAGAATATCTGAAACACGTGTTGAAGGCTAGAATATGAAAAATAAACAAGAATATATTTTTCAATTGTTGAGGTAAGTGGCAACTACTAAGCTAACAGTTTTTGAGAAGTGAGATTTGAGAGAGAGATTAGCGGAGCTTCGCTTTGTCTTTTGGGTTCACGAAAACATTATTCATAAATTGAAGCAATCTATAGTTTTTCCTCAGCCATCCACGCAAAGAATTTTTGAATACATTGCATTCGGCTGATTCTGCCCTTGTGCTTTTGTTCTCCATTTTTTTAAGGAATCCGACTACATTTGATTCTTTAATACAACTTTCCTACCATATTTCTACAGCCTCTCATAAAACATCATCAAAAAAAGAAAGAAAAGAAAAAGGAATCATACTTTTTCGTTATTTTTTAAAATTTTTTATAAAATATTATTTGCGAGTTGCATTAGAGAATAAGATTCGAACTCGAGACCTGAACGATTTCCTCTATTTTCTCTTTCCCTCCTGACTTCCAACAGACATGCGAATATGCCATGCCAAGTATGTCCCCGAAACATTCTCTCCCCTGTACATAAAATATAAGTTCTCTTTGTTTGAAATTTTAAACTAATCATTTCATTTTCATCCCTTCTAAATATATGTTATCATCTCTAGTTTTTTAATATAAGAACTAGTTGATTAATTTAAATAAATTAAAAAATTAGTTAAATTAGTTATTGTAATAAATAAGTGTTATCTTTTTAAAAATATCCTTATTAATCAAGTGCATTGACTAGAACTATCATTATTATAAAGACTGTTTAAAATAAATGGATAAATATGAAAGACAAAGTAGATTAAAATTTATATTTATGACCAAAATAGAAATCAAACAAACTCTTATTAAAGATCGAATGTAGTATTTATTATCTCTCAATAAATTTTCATTTATTGCTTTCATGTACTCTCTTTGTAATAAAAATATAATTAAAAAAAATATGCATATATCTTATGCTTTTATTGTTTTTAACTATATTATTCTTGTAACAAAAGACCAGGGAGTAATCAACTAAGGAAATGTTCTCAATTTTCCATTCTTGGCTCTCACCTTCGTTAAATTACTGATCGTCGTTCTTGACAAATTTTGCGAGAATAACTTTAGGACAAGAATGAAAAATAAAACTGAAAATTACTAAACCTCAAATAAAATGTGATTTTCGAATCTTTATTAAGTCTTGACAATATTAAATTTGCAAATTATATTTCAGTTCCTTGCTTCCGAGTACAATACACCGAGGCGTACGTCGAATTAACCATCCATTCATAATTGACATTTAACAGAACGATCAAAGGAAAGTATAAGATGCTACAGCCGTTTTCTAGAAAAAATATGCCACTTGACTGTTACTGTCAAAGGTTAAATTACAACAATTGAAGAGAAGCTTCCCATTATGTTAATGCTTACAAAATTTAAACGTTACTAATGCCTTTTGGATTCAAAAAATCATGGGTGCAAGTAATCACATGATGCTCCCTTCTTACAGTACCCACTTTCGTAAAATTTACAAATTCGCTGCCCTCTGGGCGGAGGCCTTGGGAGCCTCCATTTCCACCACCGAATGGTTGTCTGTTCCAGACATGTCTACCCCTACTCATATCCCTACCACGAGGAGAAAATCGATCGTTGCCATGTCTAGATTGGTTCCCCCAAGCGCCTGCGGTTCCTACGGATGTGTATGAATTTAGGTTCCTGTTTCCTGCACTGGACCCTGTCCTACTCCCCAACCTGTGTTTGCATTTCCTCTATTATCCATCACACCCCAGCCCAAGTTTGTATTTAAATGAGATGCCTCCCAACCACTTCTGCTGTCTTGCCCGATTCTCCAAGTTAGCATCTGTAGGCATGGCCCAGGCTGCTGTGGATGGAATTCCTGAACCTGACCTCCATTGACTACCTGAAACATGATTCTTCGTGCCGCCTACTTCAGAACTTCTGCTAGAATGCCCTCCAGAGATTCTTTGATGGTAATGTCCCTCTGGTTGGCATAATGGTACCTCTGGCGCTGTGGATTGAGAGTTAAATTGTAAATCTCCTGTGGAGCTCAGTGCATCCCCTTTACCTGCATCAGGCATTGGGCTGAGCCCCTCTGCAGGGCTGAGGCCATTAGAACCCTCAGTCAATTCCTCACCACATTCATGATCGATGTGGGAGATTCCAAGCCACCGAGAGATCCCATTGCCTCCATTTCTGCCAACAGATCTGACACTGTTTCACCAAATGAGCCAAAATCATTCGGTTCATCCATCATCGCCTGCCACGCAGATGTGTTACAGGCTGGATTGGAAGGGGAAGAATGTGTTAGTTGACCACATATTGACGATGGAGTAGCAGTACAATCGCCAGCAGTTTCAGCTGGCTTCAATGAAGATGCGGAGACAAGATTGGAGTCCCATTCCTCAATAGAAGGATTAGGCGGAGCTGGCGAACATCTTCTCCACTCAACAGTCACTTCAGGAAGTGGTGTCCCACCACCAGCTAAGCTGGAAGCAGTACTCCAGGAACGTTTATTTTCAGCAGACTGATCCGTATGTTCAGAATGAGTTGGCTTAGAATTATCGCCAGGCAACTCCAGAAAACCAATTTGTGAGTTTTTGGTGATGCTTTTGTTGCAGGAACAACGGTAGATGTAGAGTCCACACAAGTTGAGGAGCTGGTTACAGGAGTGCAACTTGGCAAATCAATATCATCTTCGTTACCCTGCACAGCCTTGATCCCTAAGGATAGTAGGACTACTGCATGGCAATGAAGCATTTTTATAACACTTCCCGCTTAATACATCAGTTAACAATATAGAGTCATCTTGTTCTTCAGTGTTTTCCATATTCTGAGATCAGACGGGAAATGCCCCCACTTTCATTCCACTTATACAACGACAGCAAAGAAAATGGTCCTGAATCTTCCCAGATGGATCCCGGTAGTGCCATACCTTATCAGTTGCAAGATCATTAAATGGCTGCTCATTTCCTGTAGAGAAAGGCAAGGATGGAGGGTCCGAAGCAACAGCAGATGACCCTGACGTTGCCACTACTAAATTATTGCTATCGCCATTTGCTGTGTCACTTGGGCTGGTCTGGTTCTTCACTGTACATGTATTCCCAATCTGCTCATGAGCAGTGACCAAAAAGTCTAGTGCTCTGCACCCACCACCCTCACTTCTTGGAGAACTAGGCTCCCTCTCTCTTCTATTAAATCCAGAATTTTTAGACTGTATATTGTCATCTACATCGACATAACCACATTTACCATGACTTGAATATTGTCTGGATAACTGCTAAAAGAAAAATGAAAGCAGGGTCCACATAGAAAATGAATTTTACCTTGCTTCCTTTCATCTGACTTTTCAGCATCGTCATCAGAGTCAAACATTGAGTCCATATTTGGATCAGAGTATACTTTCGGAATTTCTTGCAGCCTTCGCTGGCGTTCCTCAGATGAGTTCAGTAATTGCAACTTCTCCACACACTCTCTCAGCGTGCAGTTTGGTCAAGGAATACTAGACTAACTTATCCATGTATTTGGCACATCAACAAGCAGAAAAAGGTGGAGAAGAGAATGGGTAACTAATATCTAAAAAATGAGCAAGTTGCCTTGGTTCCAGTTGATAGGTCAGTTAAATAAATCCGTAATTGAAAGGGGATTTCTTCTAACAATAACCCTAGCATACATATAGGAGGAAGGTACCATTTGTTAGCTAGTTCCACTTAATCATATTGAATATTTTCCCATCAAGGATCAATTTAAGTTGGGCAGGGGCCAATATGGCAACACATTAATACCTGGCCAAACCAAGGAACAACTATAATCCTAAACATGTTAGTTCAGAATTAAAGTTACACTTGCATCTAACTGAAGTATTGCGAAAAAATAAATTCAACAGCACAAAGAAGGGTCAAATGCAATATGCAGATTAAAAATGAGGCCAGATAAGAAAAAATAATAAATAGCTCAACCTATCATACTTCTGAATAGCTAGCTGGACATGCTTGTTCAGAAGTCCTACAATGGTAACCTCCAATCATCTAAGAATTGCTAATCCGCCTAAATTATCAAGCATTCATAAACATATTCGCCTATGCATGATGAATAAAACGACAAACAAAGCAAGCGTTCCTATTACCCACTGTCTAGGCTTTTTTTTTTTTTGGGGGGGGGGGGGAAGGAAGGAGCAAAGTTATAGACAGTAAAGGATATTCTTTTCTATGTCCCTTTTCACTTGCTCTATCACGAAGATCGTTAAGCTGCAGTATCTCGCCTTCAGCAACTAGAACAGAGAGAACAGAATTGTTAAAAATAATGCCATGTTCTAACGGTATTGCTTCATACTCCAACCAAATTGTCAGGACAAAATTACAAATGACCGTGCTTGAATACATATAATTAGCAGATAAAAGAAAAGGATGCAAATTCTGCTTTTAGAATAAGAAAATTCCCAATCAACTGAATGCTTTCACAGGATTTCACATGCGAAAACCAATTCTAAAGTTGTAGTGGCATGGGTAAATGCACAGGGTACTCAAAACTATTCAGATCTGGGCAACAAAAAATTAACTTGTGCAGATTTTCAGTGGAATTCAGGGTTTCCTTTAAAACTTAAAAAAGTAAAAATGAGCGTTGATGATGAAGAACCACGTTACTTGAAGAGCAGTAATGATAAGGAGGAAAAGCTTACATCATTAACTCTCATTGCCTGAAGTGTCAATGCCTTGTCCAGAAGCTCTCCCTACAAACGATCAAAACCGTTGTCTTAAACACGAATAAAAGACAGCCCATAATATGGAGAGTTGATATAATATACACACTAACCAGAGTCAATCTTTTTGAAAACCCATATTTTATGCTCTGTCGTACCGTTTGCATTCATCCTGGACACAAATAATCAATAAACTAACCATTAGAAAGACCCAATTAAAAAAATTGCAAAATTAGAGATTCCACTGAACATAAAAAGAAAATATCTCATTCACCTCAGAGAAATCCTGATCTGAAATCTCACTTATTTTTATGACCTCTTTCTTGTTTAAATTAGAAATTTCAAGCACAATGCCTGTTGTTCTTGAGCCAATATTGTAAGATTCAGCAATACTGGTGGTACCTGCACAGAGAGGGTATGTGACTCGTAAAATTTCAAATCATTTACTCATTACAAATTTACAAGTGAAAATTGCCCGTTAGAATCAGTGTCTGTTAAGTTATTTACCTATGACATGTACAAGCCTATACATCTCTTGCTTTTGATCACTGCTAGAGACTCTTATCCGCACAATTGAACCAACAACCATGTCTCTAAAGTTCTCAGAATCGTCAATTAGATTCTCCATCTGATTCCGCCGCACATAAATCAAGTTTACATTGTGAGCATTTATTGCAGCATACGCGTCCGGATTATCAAGCAGCACTTCAGCCCTTTTCCGTGTTTTCTGTCTCTTATCATTGGCCACAATTGGCTGATCATTACCATTGTCATTAACCTCCATCTGACTAGCAACATCATCAATCGGTCCTGACCTTATAATGTTGGCAGAGGCATCATCTTTTATAAGAAAATGAGATTCAAGAAGCTTTAACATTTCAAAATGACCTACACGCTCTCTTCTGAACAAATTGACTAGTCTTGAATCACAAACAACTTGGCTTTTCTGTTGAGGATCACAAAGATTGTTTTTCCTTATATACTCCAGCAAAAGAGCCTCAACATCATGTTGAGATTGGACAGATGTATCGCCATTTTTCATATGTGCAACAAACTCTAAAAGCTCCCTCGATGCCCATTTTGTGCTTTCAGCCATAGATGCCTCTTTGTCACGAGCTGAAGTGTTCATATTTGGGCAGTCCTCCTTATTAACAAGCCTTGGCTGTCTATTACAATGGTTATTCTCTAAATTATTTGATTCTATGTCTATACAGGAGTTCTCTGACCCAGAACCCTTGTCATCTTTATGCATATGAATTTCATGAGGCATTTCTAACTTAGAACCATTAGCAGCAGCTCCTTTCGATGGATTTTTAGCTCGAAGGATCTCATCTAACGTTAAGGATAGTTTCTCTTTCAAGTACAGCCAATACACCTTGAAAAGATACTCCCAACTGCTTTTGTCATCAAAATCCACTTCACACTGTACAAGTGGCACAAAGAAGGAAAAAGAATGAAAACAAGACCATCATCATTACAACGAGAAAAACCCGCCAGCCAAAAACAAAATCAATAGTAAATGAGATCAGCACAAGAGTGGAAGTTTAGCGTTACCGTTTCCTTTTTTCCCTGTGCACTGTTCTCAATGAGCATTATGGTCCTCATGCATATCCCGCACAGACCTTTATTCCCTCTGACACAGAGAAAATCGGTGCCTTTTATACAACCCTTGCACAAAGAATATGTACATGTATAGCACATATAATGGGATGCCTTCCGACATATGCTACATATATGCCAACCTGAATGGCAAGTAAATTAAAGAGGTGAATAAGGAATGCTATAAAAGATCTGAACTCATATTGAATTAAAACTGCCAACCTCTCTTAAGCGCATGCATGCGTATCCAGTGATTAGATTGTATCAAATGAGATCAAAGAATAATAAAAAGAAACATCATTGAAGATTTTTAATTCAATTATCTATCATCTACGACCAGAAATATTGGAAGCAGAAACAGGAATAAGCGACCCACGCATCGGAACTTTTAGGATACATTCCGATAGCAAGTGGAAAGGTTAGGGAAATTAGATTTATTGGATTGGTATTGGGCTTCAATGAGAAGTTTCCAGCAGTCCAGCAACATAAAAGAAGAGTGTAGTTTATGAAGCAACATACCGCAATTCCATTTGGCCTTGGAACGGAAGAATGCCTCGTCTCGCTTGATACAGGCGGGGTGGTATGCTTTAGGACAACCCCTAAAAAAGAGGAAATAAAAAAAAAAGAGGGAGAGGATGAATATAAATGAATAGATAAAACGACATGAGTGATTACAATTGAATGAAGCACAATCGTCCTTAATTACGACCCAAGAGCCAAGGGTTGTATACTGAGAAGCACGAAATTAGTTTTGCAAGTGACCATCTGGAGTTATTAAGCACTTTGGCGAAATTAAAGTTTGGCTCCATTATTTCTCGTATTTCTCTACGACAGACCAATCCGTAAACTATCGGGATCGCGATCACTCACCGGCGATCACAGAGAACAAGGCTCCCACCATCGAAACAGATGAAGCAGACATCCTCCTCGTCCCTATTCTTCTTCAATGGCGGTTCCCTAGCAGTACCCCTGGCCGGCCGGCCTCGCTTCCTTTTGGCCGAGCTGCCGTCCGCAACCTTCACATCAACCTTGAGTTTCATGTCGGGCAAGCAACCGTGCTGCGTCACGGCCACATCAGCATCGCGGTCAAGTGCGACCGGAACGGGGAGAGAAGCGGGAATCCTGGGCATCCCCGGCAGACCGGCAGGGATCGACGGTCATCAAGTCGAGAGTCGGGTCAGAACGGTCAAGGCCGGTCTTTGAGCGTCGGGAAGAGAGGGCTTGTCCATGGGGGAAGCCGGCAGGAGGTGGAGAGGCTTATCCATAGGAGATCGAAGAGGAAGAAGGAGAATCGATCAGGAAATTGGGGGCATAAGCGAGGGGGAAGAAAACCTAGTGGTTCAGGGCAGCAACGGGGGCACATGGAAATGGACTGTGATCAGATGTGACAAGGCACTGTTGTTTTGTTGGTAATTTCGTGTCAGAACCCATGAGTGGGGACTTTTGGATTGGCTCAACTTCAATGCTGGGAGGCTCCTCCAACGCCAAATATCAGTTGATGCCCACCTTGAGATTTCCCTTCCTTTTTTTTTTTTAAGTATTTAATAATTCTGGGAAATAGGCTTGCTTAATGGCTTTGGGAGTAATAACAAGAGAGAAGGGAAAAAAGGGGCAGTGGAAAGAGGGGAGGCATTTGGACTTTAGAAGACGGAAGTGAGAAGGAAGCAATGTGAAACGTCAAACGCGGCTATCGGGGAGTTCGATTCTGCGTTGGGCGAGCACCACGTGGTTAGTGGGCACCGAGAAAAGGTGACCCCATGTGGGATCCAACCCCTCCGAAATTTGTTCAATGCCTAAAAACATGCCCCCCTCCTTTCTTCGCTACCTGCTCTTTCCCCAAAGAATAAATAATTAAATTAAAAAAAAAAAAAACGGCCACTATTTTTGCGTGTCGCGGCGACGCTAGATTCATTCACGCTGGCTACCGCACCAAAGGGGATGTACCGCATGGTGGGGTCCACCGCATTCCCTCCACCACCACGCTTCCCTCTCCTACTTTCTCACTTACTTTCCTTTTGGCGGTCCGATCCCCTGCTAATTACTTTTAATTAAATTTTCATTCATGCTGACCTTTTTCCCTCATCTCCTTCTTATCATAAAATAAAATTCAAACAAGTGCCTGATTCTCAATGGCGGGCCGCGTCATATTTAATGTTTTCCAACTTAACATTAAATAATCCTATTGAACTATTGGTGAATAAATGCTGAAATTCGCCTATTTAGGATAAGACTGCTTAGGAAATAATAAAGAAAAATGATTTGGAACTCATGAAGAGGCTTGGCTGATGTAAAAAGAAGGGGGGGAGAGAGAGAGGGAGAGCATGTGTTTGGATGGAGATTTAGCGGAGGAAGCAAAGCTGGCATCCATGAGAGAGAGAGAGTGATGTGTTGGGAGAGGATTTTAATTTGAGAAAGCAGGGTGATGTTATCAGTAATATACACTTTTGTTTTGCTTTGACTTGTCAACACATGTCTGCATGTGTGTCGTGTATGAGATCCTAGGGGCGCCAGAATGTGATCCTCGTTGGTATAAATATTCCGGGATTTGTTCTTCCCATGATTCTCGTTTGACCCCCAAGCACTCTCTCCCTCCTCTCTCTCTCTCTCTACTTCGGCCTCTCGAGTCCGGGCATTTTCATGTCTCTCAGGCCATTTTCTTTCCCTTCTGCTTTTGTTTCCCACCATCTCCCTCCCTTCCTCCTTTAATATGTTATACTTCAACTTATTTATTAAAATCTCTTGTTTTTAATATAAAGCTCAGTTAATTAACTTAAAAAGATTAATAAAGCTACTAAGTTATTATAAAATATATATTAATCTTTTTCTCCACACTGACTTGATTTACTTATAAATTGATATATGATCTAATGATAAGTATAAGTAATTTAAAAAGATTATATAACAGTATTATAAGTAAGTAGTTAGTAGTAACGCCGTCTCATGTTAAAGATCTCCTTTTTTTTTCCCGTTATACTGCATATTTAGTACGTGTCCAGTCCTACGTATTTGTTGCTTCTTTGGCTAATTAAACCAATTAGTACCCTGCTTCTACTCATGCCGTTTAATTAATTCATACGAATGGCTTTTAGAGTTTTTGACTCGAGGGACATGCTTTCATTTCTTGTCCAAATGTGGTTTTAAAAACAACATAATTGGTAACAGATATTAGCTTAGATGTAGTAGAAAAGGTTAGTTCTGGTAATATCGTGAATCAAGATTTGAATTTCTATTTGGAGAAATATCCATATTTAGTATCTGACAGTATCTCGAATAAGATTACTTTAAACTAAAAAAAAACTCATGCTTATAAAAAAAATGCAATTCTGCTTTCAACGCGCTCATTCTTAATGCAGTCCTTATTCATTTTCCACTTTACTCTCGCGAATCTTGCTTGCACGTAGACTTAAGGGGGGTGTTTGGCATTCTCAAACCGCGATTTCAGAAGTACGTTTCCACAAACGAGGTAACCTCCT